CAAAACTTCAAACAGAACTAACAGAGGCCCTGTGAGTCAGTTCAACTAAAAAAAATAGCATTTCAAGAGTTGTGGTTGGCTGGAAGGCCCAAGACCACAGTGCCAACTGGGACTTTGAATTCTGCAAAAGCTTCTAATGGAAGAATCAGATGCTTTCTTAACGGAAGTTCAGCCCTCACACATCTAGAAACATTGTCTTCTTAGCTAGGTACTCAGCGTGGAATGGCAGGCAAAATAATCTTTTTACCATTCAATTATTATTTTTTTCTCAATTATTTTTTTTCACCATAATCTCTTACAGTTAAATCTGTTTAAGTTATATGGAAATCTGGCATGGCCAGGTGCGAGGATCCCTAGACTTTTTTTTTTCCTGGAGAGCACTGAACATAGAACTGAAACGCATTGGAGAAGTCAGGTGGGGCTGCCCTATGCTGTTGGGAAATTCTACATCTACATCAGCCAATCACATCCTTCACTGTGGGACAGGTCTATAGAATGAGAGTTTCTCAAGTTCAAGATGCTACAGACAGCAACAAATATGAAGCTCTTCTGGCTTCTGTGAAATCATCACAAGTAAACATGAGTTACAAGCTCACTCAGACTTAGGATCTCTGCTGCTGAACAAATGCTGTTGTTCTATTTATTCAAGGAGTCATAAATTCTAATATGTGCTCGTAAAATACCCTTGGGAGACATTCATAAAAACTAAGGCTTATCAGCAGAGTGAGCGAAAACATATGAATCATTTCTTGAAAAAAAATTAAGCAGGCAAGATGTAAGAAGATAATCTTCAAGGCTATATCTTAATTGAAAAAATATGTTGGTTAAAAAACAAATGCTCAACTAAGTTTGTGATAAATTCCCTTTAATAAGCAGTCTGTCAAATAATAGGCAAACAGTTTTACCAACCTAACTGAGCCCAGCACTAACATTTGAAATAAAACCCTCTAAAGTGACTTTTAATTTTCTTCTATATACTTTAAAGAAAGCATTCCCAGTTCTTTAAAAAACAAAACAAAACAAACAAACAAAAAACAATAAAAGATTCTAGATAATTACAATAAATACTCAGCAGTAAGTAGTGAGGGAAGGCAGCGCCCGTAGCTCAGTGGGTAGGGAGCCAGCCACATACACCGGGGCTGGTGGGCTTGAACCTGGCCCAGGTCTGCTAAACAACAATGAAACTGCAACAAAGAAATAGACGGGCATTGTGGCAGGTACCTGTAGTCCCAGCTACTTGGGAAGCTAAATTGTCTTGAGGCAAGACAATTGCTTAAGCCCAAGAGTTTGAGGTTGCTGTGAGCTGTGAGGCCACAGCACTCTACCAAAGGCAACATAGTAAAACTCTGTCTCAAAAAAAAAAAAAAGGTAAGTAGTGAGGGAAAAAATACATCATTGTAGAAGTAAAAACTAATTAAGGTTTTGTTTATCCCTGCTTTAACTAGTCAATTATTGCGAGTGATGCAATACTTTGTAAAGAATCTATGCTTTCTAAACTAATGATTGGATATTACTGAAAAATGTCCACTAATCATTTTACCATCTGATGACCTAAGTGTGGTACCTTGTTGCAATTTCATGTTTGGAATTAGAAGTAGCACTTGGAGAAAATGATTAGAATAGCATACAGGAAAACAAAAAAAGAATGGATAAAATGACATAAACAAATAATAGGAAAAACAAAAGTCCATTGCTGATTTTTGAACTTGCCCCAATAATAACATTACATAATTTGAGTGCCACTTAATTTGTAAAGGCATTCCTTTTGCTCATGTTGTCTTGTAAAGTAGATAGACCCTGTGTTGTCTGCATTTAACAGATGAGGAAATAGAAAAATAGAGCAGGGACAGTGTCTCCTAGGACCAGGGTCATCAAACACACAACCCACAGACTAAATTTGCCCGTGGCATGAGTGGATTTTTGTATGGCCTGTGAATCAAGAATAGTTTTTGAATAAAGTTTACAATTGAACCACACTCATTAGCTATTGCCCATGGCTACTTTCTGTGCTCCAACAGCAGAGCTGAGTCACTGATTCCATATAACCCACAAAGCCAAAAATATTTGCTCTTTGGCCCCTTCTAGAAAAGTTTGCCGATCCCTGCTGTAGACGTACAGGGAAACCATAAGCAGAACCCAGATTTGGGAGAGCCAATCCAGTGTTCTTTCCACTCAATCTTCTGCCATTTCAGCAGGTGGCTCATTCCAGGCATCTGTCTGAGGGTTAAGAGAAAACTTATGGAACATAAATCTAGATAACTTGAAGTAGAAAGAAGGTAGGCGTTGAGAAGGGAGCCATGGAGCCCCATGTGGCAAATGGGGAGACAGGAAGAACAGCAGGTCCTGGATGCTTCACACCCAGAGTTTCACCCACAACTAATTTAGTTAATAAGATTTTGAACGTCTTGAGTTGATATTTAGATTAGATTTGGGTCTTAGAGTTGATGCTACAATGGGTTAAGATTTTTAGGGATGTTGGGACAGAGTGATCACAGAGTGATTTTGCAGGTGGGATGGACATGAATCTTGGGAAGCCAGAAGGAAGACTACACTAGTTCAATGGTGGATGGGGGGGCCTTTACCTAGTGCCCGGAGTCCTAATGAGAGGGAAATTTGAAAACAAACACAGAGGCACCAACTATTTCCAACAGCCAGAAGCTAAGGGAGAAGCTGGGATCAGATGTTCTTCAGAGCCTCCAGTTAGAACCAATACACCTCGATTTGGGACTTTTAGCATCCGGAACAGCCCTATGAAACTAGAGCACATTAACGGGCAAAGGAATATGGCCCATGTAAAGAAGATCAAGAAAAAGAGAAGAAAACGGTAGGTGTCAAATCCCATGAAACCATTTTGTTTAAAATATTATATAGGGCAGCCCCTGTGGCTCAGTGACTAGGGCACCGGCCCCATATACTGAGGGTGGCGGGTTCAAACCCAGCCCCGCCCAAACTGTAACAAAAAATAGTGGCATTGTGGCGGGCGTCTATAGTCCCAGCTACTTGGGAGGCTGAGGCAAGAGAATCGCCTAAGCCCAAGAGCTGGAGGTTGCTATGAGCTGTGACGCCATGGCAGTCTACCAGGGGTGACAAAGTGAGATTCTGTCTCTAAATAAATAAATAAAATAAAATAAAATAAAATAAAATATTATATAAACTGAGAACCAGGCATGGTGGCTCATGCCTATAGTCCAAGCACTCAGGGAGGCAGAGGTGGGTGGATCACTTGAGCTCAGGAGTTCGAGAACAGCTAAGCAAGAGTGACACCCCATCTCTACTAAAAATGAAAAACTGAGGCAAGAGGATGGCTTGAGCCCAAGAGTTTGAGGTTGCTGTGAGCTATGACACAACAGCACTCTACCAAGACAACAAAGGGAGACTCTATCTCAAAATCAATAAAAAATAAACTGAGTACTTCTAGAAGGCCAGGAAGGAAAACAAAACCCGGAGGCCTTCATCACCGAGCTTGATTAGGTTTTGCAAACACTCCCTGCCAAAGTAAGCAGAAGTGGCTTAACACTTGAGCCTTTTCTTCCAAATAGATCTGGTTCCAAATCCATCTCCGAATTCCAAGCTTTGCCTGTCAGCTCACGATGATTGGTAAAGAAAAACCATTTTACAACAGGGGAAAAGAGATTAACTAAAATCAGCACAAGAAAGTTTCCTGCTATGCCTCTCCTCTGAAATAATCTTAAATCTCCACAGAAAGCCTACTTATTTAGAACACATTACATAGGGTAAGTAAAAAAGAACCACAGGCTCTGAAAAAGATATTGCATGCATTCAAAAGCAATGCATAAAGGAACCATCACACGCAAATCTAGACTCTCCCAGTGGGTCAATATGCACCTCTCATGTTACTTGGCACCAGATATGCCATTGGCTCATTCACCCTCCACATGGCTGAAGGTTGAAACTATAGGCAAGACATGTTTCTTCATTTCCTCAAGAGAGCAAGGGAAGGATGGATGGCAGAGATGTGAGGTTGCAGGGATAATGTAAAGATAAGCCTAAAATTTGACACACACTGTGTTTCCCTAGGTAATTCAGTCCCTGAGAAGTAGAAAATTTAGACTGTTTGATTGCCTTGAAACTCTTTGTCATATACAACATATAAACTATATGTGAATACAGGCGCCACGAATTCATGATAAAGTTGTCCTTGGGGGGCTCTACTGAAACCCATGTAATTCTGGCATTTCAGTAGCTAAATTCTTTTTAGAGCCACAGGAGACCCATCTGACACAGAATTTTTCTCTGTGTCATGTGTAACCTGGTATTAATTATTTTAAATAGACTCTTTATTTCTAACCTAGATTTTTGATGAACTCAGAGGTAGCAAGCATTACTTTCCTATGGATTTGCATTCCAGTATACCATATTGCAATCCCCCCTTCCCACCCTCCTGTGTCATTGTTTAGATCTGAAATAACCAGTGGTGATAAGAAAGCCAGTGCCAGCTTGATACCATCCCTTTATGAGACAGCACATTGCTGGGACAAAGCATTGCTCTCAAGAGTGTCACTTAGTTCCCAAGAAGGGCCAGCTCCCAACATAAACAAACAAAACCCACTGATTTCTCTGCGCCGGCTGCAGCACATTAGTGAAACTATTTCCTGAGACTGGGAATTCTTGAAAAGCCAGCCATTGTAAACCCAGCGTCTCCACTGCTCCAGTGAAGACATTAACTGGGTTTCTTAGTGGAAAGACAAAATGTACGTGCCTTCCTTCTCTCATGCCTGAAATAAGCAACCTAAATCATGGCCAAATCTTCTGAATCCCCGCACCCTGGGTAGCCTCCGGAGTGGGGTGGTAGAACTCCTGCAGCAGGAAGACTACAAAGAAACAAAATTCCCCAAATTCCTCTCCATTATCTCCACCCTAGGTGTGAGCTGGGGAGCGTCTTCTGGCACCCCACCAAAGCACCACGGTTTTGCTCAAAGATGTCTGCTAACAAGAGCAGGCAGACACACCTTCACTAGCACGGCCCCCCAAAGCTGTACCTTATTCTGCTCACACACATACTGTATCCTCAGGGCGTCCATTGCTCTGATCATGGCTTGCATGGCGGTGAATATGTTTTGGTAAACCAGCCTCGTGAACCCCTTTCTGTCTTCATCACTGTAACCAGACCCGTGGATAATTCTCATTTGTTTGATGAAGGTGCTTTTCCCACTTTCCCCAGTTCCTAGGAGACAAAACAAGAGAAAAACGCAGTCAGCAGTCTTTTAGAGGAACACACTGGGAAAGAAGGGACCTTTGGGGAGTATCAGTCCATGTCCCAATGAGTTGGTTGATGGGGACGGACTTGGAAAGCGTCTGCCAAATGTTTATGCAGTTTTATGCTACAGGGTAGAGCCATCCTAAGTCCGGGGAAATGCTTCCCCATATCTCTTGCCCTAAGTCCTTAAAACAATAAACAGCTGTGTCTGAAAGCCCTGGGCATTTGAGGGCTCTTCAGTGTGAACGTGGCCATGGCAAGTGATGGGAGTTGCTTCAGAGTACAGAGAGGATTTGAGCAGCAGGGACACTGGGAAAAAGGCTAATGAACAGCTCAATTCCTTCCCTTCCAATACACAAATGCTCTTGATCCTCACACAATGAACAGCCAGGTCTCTACATTTTTTGCTTCTCTTCATGTTCCAATGTGTAGTTCAGGAAGTTCTCAAAACTCGCAGCATTTGCACAAGGCAGCCAGCGGACGCTTTACAATATTTTACCACTCTGGTTGTTCTTAAATGTGGATTAGATGTCCAGACACAACACGTGTGAAATACAATGCCAAGACTCGACATTCACGTTAGATGGAGACATTGCCTGAAAAGATAGTAAAAGTTTCTGTATGCAAGACAGATTTATACCAGGGAATAATAATTTTTTTTAATATTTTCTGTGATAATCTATCATAGGAGATCTCATTATCATGTTTTGAACATGATACATTCCATTCACGGTTCATTTCCAAATCTAGGTATTGCTTTAAGAATTTTATTAACAGTTCAGGTTGGAATGCCCTCAGCAGGACGATGTTTCTTCAAGTCGAAATGAACGGCAACCTATTTCAGAACAAAAATGCCTCAAGAAAAGTTCAACGAATGGGCTGTATGATATGTGACTTGTTATCTCAATAGAACTGTTACCCAAAAAGTTGTCTAACTCAGTATGTCTGTCAAATGAACATGATTATGTGAAAATATTAATTAGAACAACATGCTTAGTAATTTTACTATCAAAAAGGCAAAAATTATGGGATGGGAATTAATTATCAATGTCTTTATTACTCATCCACGTCTTACTGGCACAGCAGGACGCCCAGACGGCAATTATAAATAAATCTAATCGTCTTTGATGCTTTGCTGACTCTTAGTCATATAAAAACCATCGCCGTACACATCTTTCCCCACATTTTAGTTATAGAGACATGTTTTTCAGGGTAGGCGGATGGAACATGTTGATAATAGCTTATTAGCATGATTATAATGTGTAATCATTTAAACTCACAGGGACATGGGTCTCTGTGTAAGTCTTTGCCAGGTTTCTGCGTATATCAGGGTGGGGCCTGTCGCAAGGTCCCAGCTGAGAGAAAACTCTTCAGATTTGATACGTCTCTTCCTTCGGAGAAAAGCTGTTCCTTCACAATGATCTTTGGAAAACACAGACTTGTTCTTCTGTCTTTCTCCCCATCTTTAGCTCGAAACCCTCAAAGGCTTCCCACTCTGCTGAAGAAGAAAGGCAACACTCCTGCCATGCGGGCAGGTCCACAGCTTCAGCAGCCTCTTTCTTCTACCTGCTGCGCTCCAGCCACACTGGCTGCTTTTAGAACCTCTTCCTTGCAGCCTTCACACATACTGTTCCCCGTTCCCAAACCTGAAATTCACAGCCATGCCCTGAACCCTAAACCCTGATGACCCTCCATCTTGCAGGCTCAGGCTGCTGAGGCACAAAGGAGAACCTGGGGACAGATGAATGTCCCTGTTTATGGGACAGTGTCACTGTTATCTCACTTCAGTAAGAAAGCCGGCTGCCGTCTTCCCATGTCAGAGGTGAGGAAACTGGGTAGGAGTCAGGAGACAAGCCAAGGCTGAGTGCAAACACAGGGCTGAGACGAGAAGTCAGGCTGCCAACACCTCGGCCTTCACAGCCAACCACAAACATCATCCCTCCGGAAAGGATTTCTTCCCCTCCATCCTATCAACACAGGCCTGTTCCCTCTGAGCTGTCAAAGTGCCTGGGGACACCCCAGGGGCAGCACATCACCCACTTGCTGTTTGAAGGTATATTTCTCACTACACTTAGCCCAGTAAGCACAGGGCCAGGGATTCACTCACTTGCATGCCACGAACAACGTGTCTACAGCATAGTCCAAAATCAAAGAATTATTCAATGAAAGAATGAATGGAATAAACGTGAAAAGTCAGTTTTCCTCGTATACGTGTATCATGGACAACCTCAAAAACTTCATCATAGGTATGAACTATACAAGGATAAGAGAGACGAGACCAGGTGCCTCTGGCATTCACCATTTCATGACAACTCTTGGTTTCCCAGAGCCTATATGCCAATGTGAAGATGTGGGGGAAGACCTACCACCAAAATGTGGTCCCAAGTCCCAGATCAAAGTACATCTCTACTCCTGTAGCACCTTGGGGTCCCTGCACCTGCTCCTGACTACGACACTGCTGCACTCTCTCCTATTTCACCCCGGCAGAGATGAGCTCTGATCAAGTGCTGAATGACCTCCAGGCAAACATCTATATGTCTACATGTTACACACAGTGAAGCAGATATGAATGCAGAGATTGTCTAACTACCTCAAGACAAATGGTGGTTTGGGTCCTAAAGCCCTCACCCACCAAATCACTCAAGACACAGCCTGAACTTCTATGCCAAAATAGAGAGACTTCTTTTAAAGTTTGTTTTGTTTTGTTTTTATGAGATGGGATGGCCCTCTGTTGCCTGAGTTAAAGTGCCTGGGCTCAAGTGTTGTTCCCACCTCCATCTCCAGAGTGGCTGGAACTACAGGGTGAGACACCGCAGCCAACTTGAGATACAGAATCTGTTTGGTAATAAGGATCATTCATTGAAAATAAGTTAAAACAAGTTGGAATGCCCTCAGCCACCACCAGCCTCAAACATACATTTTTCAATATTCCCCAGTTTTAAAATGCGGTTGTTTAAAAAATAAAAAACTAAATGTGGGGCAAAAATGGGACAGTCTAGAAGCAAAGAAGAGACATACCACCGAGCGCCAAGGTCAGGAGAGCAAAGACCCAGTGTGGGCAGGTTCTCTGCTTTCATTCAAGCCTCAGCAGAACCCAGCTAATGTCTTCTTTTTCCAGCAAGGAAATTGAAAATCAGAAAATTAAATAGGTTGTCCAAGGTCACTCAGCTGGGAAGAGTTGGGGCCTGAGTCCAAATCTGGGTTGATGTTGGTCTGTGTCCTTCCCACGACAACACCCTAGTTATGGGCTGCTCTTACACCGGGTATTGGAGATCACAGTAACACCCCTAGTCGTGGGCTGGTCTTG